TGGCCCTTCCCCAGAGTTCTAGGGGAAGGGAGAATGCTTGGGAACACAGCACACTCTGCCTTGACATCCTGCCAAGAGAGTTGCCATCCTAACCCTCCAAATACACAAACTGATCTGAGTGATGATTCCTGACTCCCTGGGCCCATGACCTTTCCAGGAAAACTATTCTAAGGTCTAAACAGTCATACAGTCCGTGGAGTACTTAATCATCAAGTCTATCTTAAATCCCCTGACTTCTTAGCTGTATTCTCCTGTTTTAGAACAGTCACCTGATGCTAACACAGCCTCTCACGAGTAGGGAGGTTAAGAGCAAGCATCCTCCTCTTCTCAGATGGAAGTAAGACCTTTGAACTCCTTCCTTGAACACCCCACCCCCACGTGCTGTGTTCACCTGCTTCTTGAGGTGTGCGGTCTCAGAGGCCCACTCCCACCACCCACAGACTTCCTGGCCAATTTCACTGATTGCTCTTCATTTTTCATATCTTGGGCTATTGAAGATTTCCCAGAGGCCTTATTAAATGCTCTTTTCAAAGCTGCTCATTTATCACTGTCGAGGTGGCAAGCCAACCTGAGAGGAATCGCCTCTTGGTCTGTGATCTTGAGAGCTCTAGCAGAGTCTAGTCCTGAATCCTCAATGCTATCTAAAATTGTGCACTGTCTCTGCAAAAATTTCCCATAATTCTTGAGTCCACAGGAAGAAAGCTCCCTCCCCACACCTTACTCTAACCCTGACCCTCAGCTACTTCATACATCCTTCCAGAGCTCCTACACTGACCAGCTCAAGACAGAAAGCAGCCTGGACTTCAGCTGTTCATTCAAAGAAAAAGGAAGCCACTGCCTTGCCTCTAGCCTGTCTGCTTTGATTAAATGGCTCTGGCAAAACAAAATCCAGGGTAGCACAAAGCTGTTTCTATGCCAGTTGATTTGATCAGCGCAGGGAGCACGGATGCATAACTCAGCACCCTGAATGGCGGGGCTATGGGGTTCTGAAAGCTCCTTGGTGGAGCTGACTGCAGCTGTGTTCTCTGTTCCCCAAGGAGGTTCAGTCATTGCGGCATGACTCGAGATCATTAGAGCAGATTTACTGCAGGGAGCAATATTTACCTTTAAAAATAAAACGGCGAGGAGGGATTTGTTGCCTGTCACTTAATAGATTAATGTTCACAAGGCTCCTGATTGCAGCTTTCCTTTGCAGACACACAGCTCAGGGACTGGCTGTGCTCACAGTGGTGGCCCCTGGGGTGAGGGTTCTCTCAGGTGAGGACATCCAGTGGGTCAGGATAATCCTCCTAGGTTTGGAAGTTTTACCGTTTTACCATAACATGACCGTATGTGTTCATTTCTACATTGTCCACAACTGTGTTTGTGTTAAACAGTAAGAAAGAAGCAGTTGGAGCAGAAACCACAGGCCTGCCTGCATGGCCCCAAGCAGCTGCCATTACAGGACTTTGCTGATTTCCAACATATAGGACTCATTCCCCACCCTGGGTTAGAGTGCTTCTTAGAGTCAGTACACAGACCTACAGTAAGGGTTTCTGAGTTAATGTAGGTTTAAACTCAAGGATTCAAGGAGCCTGTTTGTTTATAGCTCTAAACCCAAGTGTCAGCAATGAAAACTGGACACCGAGTTTCTTGAAACAGAAAGGGAGTACTATTCCCTCACTGTGAGTGCTGAACACACAGTCCTAGGTCCCAGCTAGTTACCACCCTCTGATTAGTCTATGCTTAATGCTTAGGACCACACACAGATACTAATGAGCTAATTAGTCAATCATTTATGCATTCAGTTTTTCCAACACCAGTAAATACTTACTGAGCACCAGGCATTCTTTGCTTTATACTTTTGTGCTCAGATGGCAAGGAGAGACCTAGCTACACCCTACAGGGCACTGTATATGACACAAAAAAAATTCCCACAGTGAAATGTGGGACCGGCCTTATAGAGGGTTCCTGACAGAGCATCTGCATTGGAGAAGTCATATCAGGGAAGTTGTCGCAGTCAGGTTGACACCTGCTCTATTTGTTTAGTTACTCTTTAAGAGGTCAAGCAAGGTCATGTTTGTCATCCTCTGGCTTCACTCCTGTGCAATGGCTTTGGACAGGAAAGGGACTGACTTAATGAGAAGCTGGAAGCATCATCTACAGATTCATCTTCCTCCAAATGCCACTGGATGGAGTTCTGGAGTGTGAGCATCGTCTCTTCTACTGTCGGAGGGCCTGGGTGTGAACCTAGCAGGGTGCACGTCCAGAGGCTTATTGCTAACCATGGCTTGATAAGGAGCAGGTGGCATGTCAGGCACACAGAAACCTCGGCAAGAAACCAAGAGCTGGTGTCCTTTTCCCAGCAACAGAAAAGAGAGCACTCTGCAAGGATGCAGCTTCTCAGTTCCCTCCCCCTCCCCCACTGCTGTGGCTGGGCCTGGGTGCCAGGCTGGGCACGCTGGGCTATGGACTGACCAGTAGGGAGTGCACTGGCCACTTCTACTGAAGGTTTAAACATGTTTAAATTTTTAAAAACTTGGTTTTAAAGATTTTACTTGTGTATGTGCGTGTGTGTGTGTGTGTGTGTGTGTGTGTGCCACATGCATAGGTGCTTGTGGAGGCCAGAAAAGGTGTCAGGTCCCCTGGAGCTGGAGTGACCAGCAGGTGTGAGCTGCCTGACATGGGTGCTAGGAACCAGACTCAGGTCCTCTGGAAGAGCAACAAGTGCTCGTAACTGCTGAGCCATCTCTTCAGCCATACTGATTAGTCAGCTTTAAAGCTGCAGCACCAGGACACTTCTCAGGCTCCAGGACAAAGCTGTAGGTGCTTTCTGTGACAGCACTGAGGGATTGTCACCCTCCACCCCGGGGACCCCTTTCAATGGCTCTTCCCAGTGCTACGTTGATTTTGGCCAGTTAGACCCACTGAAATCTCCATTTGGCTAGACACTTGTGGAATAAGAGTCTTCTGTGGCCCCGTGCTTCTGCTCTTCTGAATTAACTCAAGACAATGGGACTGAGGTGCAACCAAGGACATAGCTGCAACCAGATGGGAGACAAAGTGGTGACTGAGACACAGCCACCAAGTCGTGAGATCTGAACACCAGAGGGGCTGTGCAGGGAGACCCTGCCTCTTGAAACGAAGCTAAACAGGACTCATAGTGATTACCTGGTCACCTGGGTGTGACACCTGTCATGCTGGGGCCATGACATACACATTCTTCTCTTAGTTGTCCAGCTCATCCCTACCACGGACTCACAGCCATGAGTGGCCATGGTTAGCTAGGGATGGGTACATTCACACCAAGGCCTTTTCCACTACACTGTCTCTGGTAGTTATCACTGATGGGCAACTTGACAGATCAAGAACCACCAGGAAACCACACCCCTGGTGTGTCTATAGGGCATTCCTAGATCAGGTTAATTGAAATGGAGAGACCCATCTTGAATGTGAGTGGCTCCTTTCCATGAGCTGGGGTCCCGGACTGAGTGAAAAGGAGAAAGTGAGCTGAACTTCAGTGTTCATCTCCCTCTGCTTCCTTGCAGAGGATGCAATGTGACCAGTTGCCTCATGCTGCTGGAGCCATGCCTTCCCCATCATGATGGACAGGACTTTCGTACTGTGAACTGAGATAAAGTCCTCCTTCTTTGAGTTGCTTTGTCAGGTATTTTGTAACAACAATAAGGAAAGTAACCAATACACTATCCTTGCCATTCACAGGACTTTAAACATCTCGGTTTTGGGTCCATGAAGACCTTTGATGTCAAACTGTCAAGGCTATGTGAGCTCTGGAAGCTTCCCCATGCTGACACAGCTCACTGGGGCATGCCTTCATAATGATTAATATGTCCACTTTCTCAATAAACTTCCAGGGATGAGTGTGACTTTTCAGAACAGTGTATAGCGATGTGCAGCACACTGATGATTCCCGTGCAGTCCTCTGAGAAACTTCATCCATACACATGGTTACAGGGGCCACCACTCTAGGCACACTGGATATGAGAACTAAGAATGCATTATGGTTTGGGTATACTCTGGTCCCTGAGATGCATGTGCTGAGAGCTTGGTCCCCAGGCAGTGGCACCATTGAGGGATGATTGGCTCACAAGGATGCTGATATCGTTCATGGGATAATCCATCAACAAATTCATAGCCAGATGCATCAAATAGTAGGTGTAGGCTGGTTGGAGGAACTGGTTCACTACAGGCATGCCACTGAAGAGTGTATTTCACCAGTGTGCTACCTCCCACACCACAAACTCCCATATGAATGCTTTTCAGCTGCCATAAGGTGAACAGTTCTGCTCCACCGCACACCATGGAGTTCTGCTTCCTCATGGGCCCAGAAATGAAGGAGCCAGCCAACCATGGACTGACGCTTTTGAAACCCTGAGCCCAGAGGAGCTCATTCCTGGTTAAGTTGTTTTTCCAGGTGCTTTGTCACAGTAAAGGAAACCTATTGAGTGCAATAAAACATTCCATTTGTGTGTGCGTGCATGTGTGTGGTGGCTGTGCTTGTCTGTACACACACACGGGGAGGTCAGACGTTGAGGCTAGGTGTCTTCTTCTGCCACTCTCTAAATTTTCTTTTTTTGGAGACAGAGTCTCTTGCTGAACCTAGAGCACTGCATTTCAGCTAGACTGGCTAGCCCAGGAGTCCCCATGGTCTGCCTGCTACCATGCCCAGTGCTGGGATTATAGACGTACATTACTACACTTGGCTTTTCTGAAGGTTTGGCAATCCAAATTCAGTTCCTCATGTTTGGATCGCAAGTACTTTATACTCTAAGCCATCTCTCCAGCCCACCATGGTCCATTTTTTTTTCAAATGAGAATTCTCTATCTGAAAAGAAACAATGATTTTATATAATCAGATACTTTGGTGCATTTATCGAAAACTCAACCACCACACACACATACACACATACACACACATCAAATGTGTGCAGTAATAAACAGTTTAGAAAACATAAACTTAGTAAAAATCAAAATACGGCTGCTGAACCCGGCTTGCTTACCAGCTGCTGGCCTTTCGGGCCCCACCCCGCATACTGAAGCTTTGCATTGCTGACTTCTGGTGGGTCCAGACTCTGAGGGTCCCTGAGGAAACAGACAGACAAACAGAAACAAAGCACAATGTTGGGAACCGAGAAGATACTGTGCTTCCACTTATCCTCTGATGGAGTCTTCCTCTTTTCCTCTCTCTCAGTTACTGAACAATACGTCTCACTCAGCTTCCACCGGCTTTCTGCAGACGTACATAATTTATGTGAAGCTGAAATGCGTCCACTGCTACTTAATCCAAATGGTAAATATTCATCAGGAGAAAACATGCAGAGAACTATATAGATCAATTTTTAAAATGTCTAGGGCAGTTAAAATGAAACGAAACCCACAGAGAAGCAGCAATAAATCCCACACCCGATGTCTTCATCATTGGCTGTCCTCGTAGATAATTCTTTTCTAAGTATAAAGCCAGGTCATCCTGACCTTCGAAAGCCAGTGGCCTCAGGATGAATTGTATTCTCTCACAGACACAGAGAATGAGAAAGGGAGAGGGTTTGGGAGAGGGAAAGAGGGAGAAGAATTGAAAGATGTTTTTCCTTTTCAACATTTCTTACATTTTTTCATTCCTTTTTATTTTGTAAAATTTTCAGTTGTGTCTACATGGGAGCCAACTTGTACATATACACATGTGTGAACTGTGTATGCATGTATGCATGCTCATGTGTGTGTGCATGCATACATGTACATGTGGGAGCCAAAGGTTGATGTTGGATGTCTTTCTCAAGCACTCTACACCCTAATGTTTGAGTCAGGGTCTCTCACGAAGCCTGAAGCTTGTCAATCTGGCTAGCCTGGCTGGCCCGCAACCTCTCGGGAACCTGCCTTCCCAGTGCCGGGATTGCAAGTATGTGCACTTAGTTTTCACATGGGTGCTGGGTACACAAACCCCTTATGCCGTCACAGCAGCATTTTACCGACTGAGCCGTCTCCCAAGCCCCACATTTTTCATTCTTAATTTACAGATATGGAAAATACGTTGACAACGAAATACTGTCTGTATATTCAAATGTCCTAATAAATAAAAGCCATGGTAAAACACCATGAAAACTCCACGGGTAGAAAGAACAGTCTTCACATTGTTTTGAGGGTACCACCCCACCTGCAGAATGGCATCTGCATTCTTGGGGAGCAGGATGGTTAGGGGAGCACCTGTCCTGATGTCACAGTTCCTGCACTGAAAACAGAGCCATGAAACTGTTTGCTCAGGAATAAGGGGAGAATTGGAGAGTCGTCACCTGTCTTTGGGAAAGGAAGGCACTGCGTTTTAGGGTCTCACAAAGGGGAGGGAGCAAGAGGGAAGAAATGTGAACCAGGCCTTTCAGTGACCAGGGTTTCAAACACAGAAAATTCTAGAGTAATTTGAGCCACACTGCCAGAATCAAGGCAGACAAGCAAAACCAGGAGGAAACAGAGGAGGAGAAGATGGGGAGGCGAGATTTCCCCATCGCCTCAGTGGAGTTTGAAGACAGGTGACAGGGGTCAGACATGGGGGAGGCAGCTGGGACAACAGTCTTCAGGGAAGTAGAGAAGCTAGGAAACATGGGGGGTCTGGACATTGCAGATCACAGACAGGTTCTTAATAAACTCCAGACTCACCCCCTGTCACCCCGTGTGTGTGTGTGTGTGTGTGTGTGTGTGTGTGTGTGTGTGTGTGTGTGTGTGTGTGGTGTGTGTACATTCACGTGCACATGCATGTGTCTGCAGAAGCCAGAGGAGGGCATTGGATCCCTTAGAGTTGGAGTTACCAGAAGCTGTGAGCTTCCTTAGATGGGTGCTGAGAACCATACTCTGGTCCTCTGAAGAGGAGCCTGTTCTCTTAACTGCTTTGACTGCTAAGATGGCTCTCCAGCCCAGAGAGTAGGTTTTAAAAGTTATATCATTATAAAAAAGGCCATGTGAGGTGATAGGTATGCTAGTGAGCATGAGTTATCAGTCTGTAGTGTGCTGACAAATCAAAAAACTGTCTGAATGTCTTAAAATACATATTTATTGTTGGTTAGTTTAACCCTTTTGTCCCCTTTAAAAAGAACAAAGTTGTCCATAAACTATGATAGAGTGATTTGTGATGGTTGACAAAAATCTCAGAGGGGCATGTGCAGTCTTCTAGCTATAATGTCTTACAGGGATTTAAGAACATACACAGGCATGAAGGCCTTTATGAAAAACAAGCAAATAATCTGAAGCCAGTTAGGTTGGTCAGCTAGCTACAAGATTGGGTGGGACGGGTGGAGAGAAGTAGGGTGAGTGAGGGTGGCATTTCTCAGAGTCCATGCTTTTGTATCAAATCAACTGAGACACAGGTACCCCCTCAGGAAGTGGGGGCATGGCCTTCTTCATCTAAAAGAAAGCCAAGAGGAATGATGGGTACTAAGTCAACAGTACTCCAAAGATACAGGTCTCTCCTCTTTCCTACCTAGCAAGTCTCTTAACATCTCATACACTTAACCCAAGGATTCCAAGATCCCCCAAATGAGCTGCCTGCTGGGGTAGCAGCCATCCATCCAGGGTGTCCTCACGGGGAGAAAGGCAGGAAGTGGTGGGATTCCCTCACTAACAGCACAGAGCTTGGGCCGATAGAGAAACTCAGGCCAACTACTTTTTCCCCACGTGTGAATTGGTAATATTAACGCTTGCCTTGTGGGTAACATCTGGTAGTGCACTGCACACAGAGATGGGCAGCACAGGGCTCCCGCAGCCGTGTTCCTCAGATGCCAGCTTAATCCTTGATAAACTGACAGGTAATTAATTTGGCCACACATTATAATGCATGTGTGTGTCCTCAGCTTTTCATTTAATTAGTTGGGCCAGTGGGTTGAGTACCGATAAAGTGTTATTGTAATGGCTATCTATATGGAAGTTGTTTAAAACAGTCAATCATTTATCAGACATAAAGACAAGTTTGCTCTCTGGGACTCAGCAGTGAAAGCAAACTGGTGACTCCCTAAGGGTACAGGTGGCAGGAAACCGGGCTTGAGGTCACCACCCCATCACCCATGCTTGCTATATTGAAGTAAATCTCTATTTTTACACTGGGATCCCATGGCATCAGATTGTTGTGCTTTCTAGTTAAAAGAAGGCTTCAGGGTGACCCTCCTAATGTCCCTCCACTATGTGTCCTTGCTTAGTGAATATTCTGCAGTTTCTCATCATGTATCTAGCCCCCTACATGATGATGGTCCTTAGAGAGTCCTGCCCAGCCTTGCAAACACAAGGTTTCCATTGAATCTGCCTCATGCATCCACATGTGATGGAGAACCACTGGAGAGTTGCATGGAAACCGTGTGTGTGTGTGTGTGTGTGTGTGTGTGTGTGTGTGTGTGTGTGTGTGTGTGTGTGACTCAGTTGACCACTGACCACTGTCATAGCATTCTGGTGAGTCCTGGATTCTCAATTTCATCCCACTCCTTCATCTCTGTTTCTGTTTCCTCTGTGTGGGGCAGGCAGATGGTCCTGTGCTCACCTCCAGGAAGAACCTGTCACTCCTCTGTGTTTTGAGGACTGGGTGCTGCACCCAAGCAGGGCTTCTCTGCTGAGCAGGTGGGCAGAACCACAAGGTCAGATCCACCTGCATCTGAGGTTCCTATTGCCAAGTCCTGCTTCTTGCCTCTGTCCCTTTGTGGCTGAGACACATATGCTGTGGCCTGGAGACTCTTCCTCCTCAGCCCGCTGGTCCTATTCTTTTCCTCTACAAGAGGTGACATACCTGAACCCTGTGCCTTCTCACCCTCAGCATATTTAAGATCCCACTGGCTTTTCAGGATAGCACACCTTCTCAAGACATACTGGTCCCTCAGCATCAGGTCAGCATCCTCTTCTTGTCTGAAGAATGCATCATACTCCAGTTGCGAGCCAGGACTATTTTCCCTTGCACTTTGCTTCTGGGAAAACTTTATTATTACTACCGTGCTTTAAATCATTCTAAGTGCTCACAAGAGCTGACAATAATGTATGCACATTATTAATATCTTGTCTAGGCTTTTACATTTATCATCGTCAATTTATGCTACCTCTCACCGAACCCCATGGTTGACTCTGGGGCTCGTCGGCTACTGTGTGTGCCCTATGGGTTTAGACAAATGTGTTCTGCCTCACATTACTGTGTCAGTATCACAGGGAGTTTCGCTGCTTGCTCCACACGCTCTCACTTATCCTCTCTGGCAACCACTGTCTTCTCGGCTTCTGGTTCTGCCTGTTCTAGAAGGTCCCACATCTGCAGTCTCTTCAGACTGGCCTCTTTTTTTGAAGATGATGAGCTCAAGCTCTCAGATTTGGCCTGTTTCCAGGACTACACTCACTTTCACAGTCCTCTCTCTCTTTTTCATGTTCCTAACCCTCCAGGGTCCCTGAACAAACTAGACAGGATAGTGGAGGGAAGCACCTCACCTGAGCAGCACCTGTCCACATCTAAGCCCTGCTGGCCTTCTTTCCCACATATCTTTTTAATCCACCCCCCATGGTTAGCTAGGGCTGGGAGATAGCTCAGTTGGTAAAACTCCCGTTGCATAAGCATGAGGACCCGAGTCCCGATCCCCGCCTCTGTGTAAAGGTTGTGTGTGGAGGCACATGCCTGTGACCCACCCCATCACCGGGGAGGAAGAAACAAGAGGCTCTCCGGAGCTTGTTGGATAGCCAGTGAGCTCTAGGTTCAGTATGAGACTGACTCAAAAAATGAGAAGGCCTAGTTCCCTTTCTCACACTGAAGACTACAGCAGTAACCTCTGATGCATAACCAAGGTGTCACATGTGCATCCAACCTGTGGCCTACCGGCCACATGAAGGTAGTGATAACTACCAGTGCAGCCCAACACAGAACTCACAAGCTTACTTAAAACATTATGACTATTTATTTATATTGTACTTTGTAACTTGATTATGTGGTTCTTGAGTACGAACTTTATAGACGACAAAGACAACATCGTGTCCCAGTGTTAAAACGCTGGACATGCCTGACAGTCTGGCCTGTGGTCCCTACCGTGTACTAGGTTATTTTGAAATTCATAGTGTGTATGTAAGAGGGAGGGACACAAAGGGAC